CGCATTAACCCCAAAGAGTGGAACCACAGCACTGTCACTGGGGACAGACAGGATAGACTAATGGGCAATGATCTCTAGAGAAGATGATCTTCTGAGACCCCTCCCATCCCAGCCACCTGAAGATAGGGTTTCCCCTCATTTATATATTAGTTCCTAAGATTGTATTCGGGGATTACTAACTTTAAATCTGGCCACTAGTTCTTTATGTGGATAAAAGCCAACCTGAAATTGGTGACCTTCAGACCAAAGTGCAAATTTTCTCTCTCAGTTCAGGTAATTGCATAAAGGAATTAACAAATAAGAAAGAAAAATGTTTCCCTGATGAAACAAAAGGAAAACATCACCCAATAATAGCAAATGACCATTTATTGCCAAGTACTCTGCTAATTGCTTTACATGCACCATATAATTTATTCCTCATTATACCCTCAGAAGGCAGCTGGGCTTCTCCCCTCCCCCCACACACATTATATAATAGATAAGGAAAGAATACAAGAAAGTTTAATTATTTGTCCAAGGACATGTAACTAATAAGGCACAAAGTTAGGATAAGGGGCAGTACTCCCCTCTTTCAAGGAAAGAGTGAGTCTGGTGAAAGGAATCAGCCTTTGGGTGACTCTAATGTCCCCAATAACACCCCCAGAGTACTTGTTGATGACACCCCCAGAGGACCCAAAATCCTTGGGCTGTGTTTCATCAGCCTTACACTATAGAGCTTGTCGATTTATAAACATCTCATATATTCACACAGGGTTTTGATCCTAGGTCAGACAGACCTGGGTTCAGACACTGGCTCTGCTTCCTCCTCACTGGGACCTTGAGCAAGTCAGTAACTTCTCCGAGTCTTAGTTTACTATGGAATAAATGGTGCTAATATCTGCTCTGGTTGTCTCATTGCCAGGTCTAATGTAACTTGTGAGCACCCGTACTCATTGTAGTTGCTCCAAAAATGTTTGTCGAATTAATTGCATGATAAATTGGAAGATGTTTTATAATGCATTATGAAAATGTTGGATATTACTATATATCTCTTTATAAATGTTAAAAAAATAATTACCCAAGATCCCATGTTTCTATATACTACCAAGTTATTTTTTTAGTCTGAGTGTGCTGATTCAACCAGAAAAAAAAAACAGAGAAAAGGTCAAAATGAACCAATACTGCTTATGGGAAGTTAAACTTCTACAGAGAGATTAAAGGTCTGTATCACATCAGCACAAATGTTGCCCCTCTGTTAATCATAAAACAGGGTCACAGACCAATGTTCATCCCTGGAGACAGGAAGATAGCCAGGAGTGGGTGACCGTGGAGAGTGATTTCCATGCTCCCCAGCCTCTGCTCACTGAGGTCTCAAGCCATTTTGTTTTTAAAGTGTGATGGGAAGTTGTTCACATTGTATTATTACAATGGGGGGGGGGGGGGAAGAAGCAAGTTTCAGGGAAGTATGTAATATTTAGTATCATTCTTTTTTAGTTAAACAAAATGGTTTGGGGCGCCTGGGTGGCTCAGTCGGTTAAACATCCGACTCTCAGTTTTGTGTCAGGTCGTGATCTTGCAATTTCGTGAGTTCAAGCTCTGCATCAGGCTCTGCACTGATGGCATGGAGCTTGGGATTCTCTTTCTCTCTCTGCCTCTCCCCTGTCCATGCCGTCTCTGTGTCTCTAAAAATAAATAAATAAACCTAAAAAAAAGTATTTTACTGGTATAACACATACTGTTTGTGCATCTATGTAAGCAGAGAGTAACCACCCTGGAGTTACTTGTGGGGACTGAAATGGGATGGAGTGACCCTCACATTTTACTTTATAAATTTTTTGTAATGTTTGATTTCTCAATGAATAGGTTTATATATTACATTGTTTATTATATGTAATATATTAACAGGTGATACATATACAAATCTGGGAGAAGTTTGTATGGAAATATGAGAATAGAAGGTAATCACAGAAAAACAGAAGTGCAAGTGACCTCAGAGGTGTCAACCCTGCCAACTTTAAAGATGGGGAATCTGAACCTCAAAAAGAATATGTCTGGTGCCCCTCCTAAATTGTGATGCCCTGGGATTAAAAACCACATCCTACTGGCTTCTGACTTGGAATCCTTTTTCCAATCCTTTTTTAGAAAAATAGCAGATGAAACCTACAGTTCTTTCTGCCTTCCTTGAAGAGGTTCTGTGAAAAGATAATGATTTGTAAAAATGAATATTTAACTCCTAGAGAAACATAGGGGAGTAGAGTCCATTCGCTTCTCCATGTGCAAGGCAGACGGGCTTTCAAGAAGACATGAGGAGGTAATACATTGAAAGCCTATGACCTCCAGGCACTGCGAGCAAGATTTTACATATAGATGTGTGAAGATGCCCACAGCTTCATTACCCACCCACCCACCCCCATGTCACAGTGACAAGCGCAGTGAGATGCCCTATGACAGCTTGATCCCTGATGCTTTGAACACACATGAGGTAGCTCAGAAAGAGAGCTGAGTGTTGCTCTTTCTTCTAAACTGGCACCTAGGTCAAAGGCACTTCTTGGTCTCCATCCAGCACCTCAGGCTTTAGTGTAGGTCTGGGGTGGTCCCCAGATGTGCCTTGGCTTAATGGCAGCAGAACTCAAGCCCCTACTGGATCCCAATTGGCTAACGGAGCCCTAGGTAACTAGAAAGAAGTTTATTGTAAAAGGCAGCATCTCCTGGGGTGCCTGGGTGGCTCAGTCCCACTCTGGATTTTGGCTCAGGTCACGATCTCACAGTTCATGGGATCAAGCCCCCTGTCGGGCTCTACGCTCGCTCAACAGGGCAGAGCCTGATTGGGATCCTCTCCCTCCATCTCTCTCTCTGCCCCTCCCTTGTGCATAAAGGCAGCATATCCTCATAACACATCTATTTTTCAGACAGTAGAACAAATATCCTAAAGTACGTCAGCAGCTTCTGAGTTATTCCAAATAACTTAAACTGTAGGATCTTCAAAGTAGGAAATGTTACAGAAAGCATCAAACAAGTGGAAATTTGACAATTCATAAACAAATGATGATGGTGCTCTGTGACAATTCCCAGCCTGTTCCATTTTCTCATTTGAGCAGTGGTGAAGGCAAGGGTAACAAGCAACATACACCAGGAGCTCATTTATGTGACAAAGGAGCTTCAGCGCCAGCACTAGTAGGAATAGGAAGAGAATGAAGAAAATGACATCAGGCAATAGATATGTAAACAAATCATTGAATTAAGCAGTTGTCATGGGGAGAATAGAAATGAGCAGGAACCTCAAAACATGATTGGCACCTAACCAAATAAGAGCATTCAAGCTGTTTCTCCTAGGCCAAAGACAGAAGAGCTTTCATGCAGGTCACACTGGGAGCTGACATCCATCCTGAGCATTTTGCCTCCAAAGAGTCAGCAAAGGTGTGGATGAGCATTCACGCTTAGGGAGGAAAATCATTTCAGTACAACATCACATTTTCAGCCACCATCAAGTTTCTCCTGAAAACAAAAGCAAACAGACTTTCTCCTCTACCTGTGTAGTGCCATTGTTAACCCCTTACTCCCAGGTGCCGTCCAGGCAGACAAAGGAAGTTCTTTTACTTACAGTTTGTGGGGGAGAGTCCTCTTAGGTATCAGAAGCTGTGGACGAGGCAGCAGCCGCCAAATAGGACGAACCTATGGGAGCACACAGTTTTTATAGAGGTCTTGTCAAAGTTTGTTTGTCGTGGGTTTTTTTTTTAACTTTCACCCTCCCCTGCCCACCTTGGCCTGATAGGGAGGTGTTTATCCGATACCTGGTTGGCTCATAACCAGCCAATCCTGATCACGCTCACACACTCACTGGACTCACAGAATGTTAAAGCTACAGTGGATATCTGGAGACCATGTAGTTCTTAACCCAGACATCATTTTTCAAGTGAGGAAACTGAGGCCCAGAGGATTAGGGGATTCCCTTAAGTCACAGAGCCAGTAAATTACAGAGCTCTAGAGCCACCCAGAGAAACTGGGAAGAATGTCACTCTTGATATAGCACTTACTAAACACATGACTTTGGCCAAGGCTTTATGTCGGTTTGTTTCTTTTCATTTCTGCAGGCCTTAATATCCGCCTCTGTAAAATGGGATCTCAACTTCACGAGAGCATTAAATGAGTTTGCAAAGTCCTTGCACACATTAGGCATGAAAGATCCTTCCTATTCCCCAAGAACCAAGCTGGGCCCCATGATGTTTTTAATACCAGAACACACTGTATTTACCCCATTCCCATTCTCCCTTACACTTTACACGTTTGTCTTTAACTTTGCTAAAAACTAGAATAAAACCCAGAGTGATTGGTAGAAGCCATCAGTTTTCCTAGATATACACTGTGTGGGTGTGGGTGCATTCTACAGGGTTTTTTTTTTTTTTTCCCCTGATCACTAAACCAAAACCTAATTCAAGAGAAGGCAAATAAAAATAGTGTCTGCTTCCTCAGGCAAATAATGAATGTGGCAAATAAGAGTTATGTGGAAACCTAAAAATAATGGAGTGGCCACGATCATAGGAAAGTATAAAATTTTCAGGAACCTATTCCTTTGGAATAACTCATAAAATGGGAGGAAAAACACCCTAAAAACCAAGTGCCCAGTGGTATAGAGTGTAACACTCTAATGAATGAACCGTCAACGAAATGAAAGAAAAAGAAGCAAAGAACTAAGCTGTCTTAACATCAGAGTCTAGGCTCAGACAGCTTCTAAAAATGGGGGAGTGTTAGACATTGAATGTGATTGTGAAAGGAAATTGAAATGTTTGAAACACAAAATTGAAGCTCATTTGCCTAGGGAAGGTTTGGCCAAGCAAGGCCTGTCCTAAGGATCGCAGGGGGCTAGGCCAAGTACAGACCATTGGCATTCTTTTTTTTTTTTTTTTTTAACATTTATTTATCTTCGAGAGACAGAGACAGAACATGAGCAGGGGAGGAACGGAGAGAAAGGGAGACACAGAATCGGAAGCAGGCTCCAGGCTCTGAGCTGTCAACACAGAGCCCGACGTGGGGCTCAAACTCACGAATCGTGAGATCGTGACCTGAGCTGAAATCCAGTCGGACGCTTAACCGACTGAGCCACCCAGGCGCCCCTGGTGTTCCTGACTCCACTTGCCACCTGAAGGCACGCTTTCTGGTTTCCCCGTGTCTGCCTGGTGCTCCTTCAAGCCCCTGGTGCTTGATTCATCAGACCACGATGATCTGCTCTGGGGACATGTGAGTTTCATCAGATTTGCTTTGTGTCAAAGGAGAATGGAGGAAGAGAAGGTGGACAGTGACGAAAGACCGCAGAGTAGGATTAGTGACGGCCATTGGCGGTCAGGGCTGGAGTGTCAGAAGTGTGACTAAATCATGCCACCCACTGAGAGACGCACGGTAGAAATAATTTTACTTACGCTACCAGCACTAGTTCTTCTTGCTAGAACAGTGGCAGCAATAACAATACTAATAGCTGTGTTTAGAGGTGTTATGATGCATCTGGTTCTCCCTATACACGATTTGCAATCTCAGCACCCCTCTGTGGAAGGGTTTATTACTCCTGTTTTCTGGATAAGGAAACTCTGGTTCAGAGAGAGCGAGGAACTTGCCCAGAGTCACAGGACAGGTACACGGGGACACTGCCTCCTCCAAGCCAGTGGTCTAAAGCAGAGCTGCTTACCTTTTGGCGACCACAGACCGCATAGATTAGTCCTTCCCCTCCCCGCCTCCCAGCAGTTTATAACCTTGGACATTAACCTGCATTCATCAGGGAAGAATGCCTTGCGTAGGCAGACCTGGGTGGCCCTGCACTTGCTGGGCATCATTTCACGTGGACAGCAGCCTGGCCAGGCGTGTCAGAGGATCACTACCATGCTCACCCCTACTGGTGCCACCAGCATTTGGCCGCCTCCACAGTTTGATGTGCAACTGAAACTCAAAGTTCAGGAAAGCAAGGATAAGGCTTACTGGAACATAGAGAAACAGCAACTCCTGAGCAACACAGACTGCTAGCAGGGTTTTGGTTCTTTTTGTAAGTCTCTGAACTTAGTAAAAGGTTCAAAACTGAGGTGCCACAATATGCAGAAAGAACATGGGACTTGGGCACTATGAAACAGTGGGGAATCCTTCAATCTCTTTGATGCTCAGTTTTGTCATTTGTAAAATGGGCTAGCGACACCTCCATCCGAAACGGATTATGAAGCAGGAATGAAATGACATATGATGAGGCATTTAGCACACAGTAAATTTTTATTAAATGGCTTGATCTGAATATATAACTCTGGTTTAGAAGTCCCCAGCTGCAGACTCTTCTAACAGAAGAGTACCTCCAACAACTGCCATGTTTATTCTCCACTCCCGGCCTTACTCTAGATACTTTGGATTTGAATATGATATCTACGTAAGTCAACTGACAGGCCATGAGTTCAATGTTTTCATGAGCACTATGAAGTCTGAGTCCACAAACTTACACATGCAAGTTAATCTCCTATATATCATAGTTACACTCAATATAGGGTTAGTAATATTATAAGGGCGCCTGGGTGGCTCAGTCAGTTAAGCAACCGACTTTGGCTCAGATCATGATCTCATGGTTCATGAGTTCAAGCCTCGCATCAGGCTCTGTGCTGATAGCTCAGAGCCTGGAGCCTGCTTCGGATTCTTTGTCTCCCTCTCTCTTTGTCCCTCCCCTACTTGCACTCTCTCTCTCTCTCTCTCTCTCTCAAAAAAAAATAATAAACATTATAGGATTAGTAATACTACAGAGGAAGAACTTTCCTAAAAAGGGGCCACATCTACACAATGGAAGGAAGATCCATGATTGGGTCAATATGGCCTTTTAAAATATCGTTTCTAATCTGTGGTACAGACATTTCCTTACTATCTTGCAATCTGCTTTAGTGGTTGGGATGGTTTCAGGGCCCTGAAAGCAGTGGCCCTTATTGTGGTCACAGAGATAGAGCTAGTGTTATTTCAACATAGCTCACGGCATTTTTACTGAGGTTGTACGTATAAGGCATTTTGTTAGCTACAGAGGCATTTTGCAGAGAGTACACTTTTGTAGAGAACACAAGATGATTAAGACTGGCCTGTTGTCAAGAAACCTCTAAGAAGTGGGAAGAGAGGGTTGAGGTCAGGACCAAATAAACTCAAACCAAATAAGAGAATGCATTTGAAAGTACAAGAGATTGTGGTGGTGGTCGTGGTGGCTGTGATTGGAGTGTTCAGTGAAGACTCCATGAAGAGACATGAAAGAAAAGTCTAGATATTCTGGATTGCTACATGGCCAGGTTAGCCTCCATACCATCTGATTCAGCACGTCAGACTACAAGATCTATGTGCAGAAAGACAGTGATAATTTAAGATTATCTAAATTCAAGGGGCGCCTGGGTGTCTCAGTCAGTTAAACGTCTGACTTCAGCTCAGGTCATGATCTCGTGGTTCATGAGTTCAAACCCTGTGTTGGGCTCTGTGCTGACAGCTCAGAGCCTGGAACCTGCTTTGGATTCTGTGTCTCCCTCTCTCTCTGCCCCTCCCCTGCTCATGCTCTGTCTCTCTCTCTCTCAAAAATAAATAAACATTTAAAAAATAAAAAAGAAAAAAAAGATCTAAATTCTAGGTCTTAGAAATACCATCCCCTTGAGACTAGAGACAACTAAAGCCTGAATGTGATAAAGAATGAGGTTTGCCTTGGGGCGCCTGGGTGGCGCAGTCGGTTAAGCGTCCGACTTCAGCCAGGTCACGATCTCGCGGTCCGTGAGTTCGAGCCCCGCGTCAGGCTCTGGGCTGATGGCTCGGAGCCTGGAGCCTGTTTCCGATTCTGTGTCTCCCTCTCTCTCTGCCCCTCCCCCGTTCATGCTCTGTCTCTCTCTGTCCCAAAAATAAATAAACGTTGAAAAAAAAATTAAAAAAAAAAAAAGTATGAGGTTTGCCTTGTCTGAGGAAACTCTTAGGACGCTGCAGAGGCAGAAGCAGTTAGAAAGAATGGGGCTGCAGAATTTCAGAATTAGAGTGTCCAGTAGTTCTCTGACAGGAAAGAGTTACACTGTGGTCAGCAGTGACCACAAGCCCCCGTTGTCCCATATTCCCTCCTGGAGAGTTGTTTACTGCCTTGTCAGTGTTTTCTCTCTGCCTTTTGCTCAATCATATCAAAGTCCAATTTTTCCCTCACTATCTAATCAGGACTGTGGGTGACTTATGTCATTTATGACCCCCACCGTGTATTTTTTCCCCACTATTCCTTATCTCTTTGGTGAAACTGTTTGGTGTTTAGGTGAGAAGGTATTGTGTGCTAGTACAAAGAGCCACGGATAAGGAGCCACAGGATCTGGGTGGTGGTCTAGTTCTGCCCCTGGCTAGCCATGGGACTGAAGGAAACCACGTTTTCTCAGCCTCCCGTCCCTGATGGGCAAAGTGGGCCTAGCAATACCACTCCTGTGTAATTTTTCCATGTTGTTGCACAGAGTGAACAATATCATCTAAGTGAGTGCTTTGAAAACTATAAAGTCCCACCTAATTACAAGGTGACTAAACCATGTTCTTCATGGAAGCAAACATCACCAATGCTCCGTGGCGTGCGTGTGCACACTCACACACGCATGAGAATCAGAAAAGAAGGTTCTAGTCCTAGTTCTGCTCTGAACATCTGGAAGATATTGCCCAAGGGAGGGCATTACCATTTGTTGATCACCTACTCCTTACAGGGCCTTTTCTGGGCACTTTGCATTGAGTACATCATTCAGTCCCCACTGCATCGGCCAGGTAGGCATTGTTTTGGAGAGGAAGGAGTTGATCCTGTTTCTGGCCCAAGGGCACACCATTAGTAAGTAGCAGGGCAAGGACTTTTAAATACAGATCTCTAAAGCCATCCTAGGACCTTCTATGGGACTATGTATCATCCATGCAGTGAAGGAGGGATCCCTTCTAGCTGTGATATTCTATGGTCTTTCCCCCTGAAATTGTGTGATTTTGACATACATGGTTATCCTAAAACAAAGAAAATGGTTTTAAACAATAATATAAGAAGCTTAAATTAGACCATAAAATGCTTTCTTTTGGGAAGTATTGTTAAAATGGATTATTTATTGATTAGAAATCTTCAAAATGCTGATGTGTATGAAAGAAACCGGGTAGTTCTAATCCCTGCCTCCTATTCCCCTACCCCTTGGTTTGCTTTATGCCATAGGAATGAAGAGTGCCAGGCTGACCAGATCCTGGAAAGTTGGATAAAAGGTCCAGACTCTGAGCAGCAGCCAGCCAGCCAGTATATACAAATGGTGGACCAGTCACTTGCTTAGTGACCACATCGGTGCCACCTACTCTCCCACAAAATGAAGAACAGGGTCACTTAGCCTCCTAGGTAATTAATCCAGTTACCTGAAAACTCAACCCTGTGCCTTTCTGAAGGCCCAGACATAAATTTTTTTTTTGGCAAGTCAATATATATATATATATTTTTTTGTCATTAAGAATTTGGACTTTGAAGTCAGACAGAACTTACCCTTAAATTCTGGCTCAGAGCTTCCTAGTCGTGTTACTTTGGGCAATTCCTCTTAGCTTTTTGAGCCTCAGTTTCCCTAGCAGCAAAAGGATAATAATAAAATGTGACCTATGACATTGTTGGAGGATTGGATTGAATAATGAGCAAAAAGGGTTATGCATGATGCCTGACAAAAATTAATTACTGGATAAATAACAGTTGCTATCATTCTCCTCTTCATTATCCCCTTCTCCCACATTGTCCAAATTCCCCTCTCCCTTCTCTGTCACCAAAGAAGGGTCATTCCAAAACTTTTTCTCCCATAGCACCCAACCTCATCATCTCCTGTGTCCTTCACCCTGAATCCTCCCACCTCACTCCTACCCTCAAAAATCTTTCTTCACTTAATATACAGAAAAATTAAGGTGGCTCCTGAGTTCATCTCAAAAGTTGCAAACCCACACCCAAGAAGAGGAACATACCCCCCCCCAGAAGGTAGTGGGGAGCTGTAGAAGAGGAACATTTTTTTCACCCATCATGGTACCCAAAGTTTAAAGGTATGACTTATCCCTTAAAAGAGATGAAGAGAGGCAGAAGCAGTTTGAGGAGATTAAAGAAAATGGCATGACAAGTGGGTGGCTCAATTGGTTAAGCATCTAACTCTTGATTTTGGCTCAGGTCATGATCTCACTGGTGGTGAGATCAAGCCCCAAGTCAGGCTCCTGCTTAAGATTCTCTCTTTACTTCAGTCCCACCCCTGCTCGCAAGTGCCTGCTCTCTCACTCTCTCTCTCTCAAAAAACAAACAGACAAATATAGTTTCATTTTAAAAAGTGAAGAAAAGAGGGGTGCCTGGGTGGCTCAGTCGGTTGAGTGTCTGACTTTGGCTCAGGTCATGATCTCATAGTTTGTGAATTCAAGCCCTGCGTCGGGCTCTGGGTTGACAGCTCAGAGCCTGGAGCCTGCTTCAGATTCTGTGTTTCCCTTTCTCTCTGCTCCTCCCCAGCTTGCACTCTCTCTCTCTCTCAAAAATAATTAAACATTAAAAAAAAAATTTTAATGAAGAAAATAAAAGAAAATGGCAATGTGATTTGTGGAAAGTGTAAAGGCACATGAAGGAAAAGAGATGAATAAAGAGATAGCCATGCCTTAAAGGCTTAGGAGACAGAAAACCATTAAAATCCTAGAGGAGACCACAGTCAAGTAACCTCTTTAACATCAACCATAGCAACTTCTTAGGAGATACGTCTCCTCAGGCAAGGGAAACATAAGCAAAAATAAACTATTGGGACATCATCAAAATAAAGACTTCTGCACAGTGAAGGAAACAATTAACAAAACTAAGGGGCAGCCTACAGAATGGGAGAAGATATTTGCAAATGACGTGTCTGATAAAGGGCTAGTATCCAAAATATATAAAGAACTCATAAAACTCAATACCCAAAAAACAAATAATACAGTTTAAAAATGGGCAGAAGACATGAATAGACCTTTTTCTAAAGAAGACATCCAGATAGCCAACAGACCCATGAAAAAATGCTCATCACTCATCATCAAGGAAATGCAAATCAAAACTACAAAGAATGGCTAAAACTAACAACAACAACAACAACAACACAAAAACCACAACAGGTGTTGGCAAGGATGAGAAGAAAGGGGAACCCTCTTACACTGTTGGTGGAAAAGCAAACTGGTGCAGCCACTATGGTAAATAGTATGCAGTTCCTCAAAAAGTTAAACATAGAACTTTGTGATCCAGCAATTGCACTACCAGGTATTTACCCAAAGGACACAAAAATACTAATTTAAAGGGATACACACACCCCAATGTTTATAGAAGCATAATCAACAACAGCTAAATTATGGAAAGAGCCCAAATATCCATCAGCTGGTAAAGAAGAGGCGGTGTATACACACACACATACACACACACACACACACACACACACACACACACTGGAATATTACTTGGCAATCAAAAAAGGATGAAATCTTGCCATTTGCAACGACATGGATGGAACTAGAGAGTATTATGCTAAGCAAAGTAAGTCAGTCAGAGAAAAACAAATACCACACGATTTCATTCATATGTAGAATTTGGAATTTAAGAAACAAAACAAACGAAGAAAAAAGAGACAAGCAAACAAACTCTTAACTGTAGAGAACAAACTGATGGCTACCAGAGGGGAGGTAGATGGGAGGATTGGTTAAATAGGTGATGGGGATTAAGGAGTGCCCTTGTGGTGAGCACCAGGTATTCTATGGAAGTGTCAAATCACTAAATTCTACACCTGAAACTAATATTACACTGTATGTTAAATAACTGAAATTTAAATAAAAACTTGAGGGAAAAAAAAAAGAGAGAGAGAGGTGGCCACGCAGCCACACGTCCAGAATCAGGAAAGCAGGTTGAGTGGCAGAAAGGGCCACCATGCTAGGCAGGCAGATAGGCTGACTTCATCAGCACCCCTGTGCCACACAATTCTAGAAGCATGGCTGTATGCCTGTCCCCAGCAGCACAACTGACTTCTAGGTGCTAGACCTCACTGCACGGCCAGATGGAGGTGTAAATAAGAGGCTGGAACAAGTTATCTCTGAGGCAGAGGGCCCAGGGAAGTCCTCATCCAATTACTGGCACCCTCACAGCCAAGTCTATATGCAGACTGATCCTGACCAGGCAGCAGATGCCCTGGCTCCCCTGAGGGAGAAGAGGAGAGAATAAACCCTCTTTTAACCCATTTCCTGGCCAGGCTTGCCCTGTCCTGCCATTCATTTTGGTGGCTCTCCTTTGGGCCATTTGTCCTGTGAGAGCAAAGACCTTTGATCCTGGGGGGTAATGTAAAAGCTGTCACTTTAAAAAGTGTGAAGAAGGGGATACTTGGGTGACTCAGTCCGTTGAGCATCTGACTTTGGCTCAGGTCATGATCTCACAGTTGTTGGGCTGGAGCCCCATATTGGGCTTTATACTGACAGCATAGAGCCTGCTTGGGATTCTCTGTCACCCCCCTCCCCCACTCATGCTCGCTTTCTCTCTCTCAAAAAATAAATAAACATTAAATATATTTTTATGTGGGAAGAGGGGCACCTGGGTGGCTCAGTTGGTTAAGTAGTTAAGCATTTAACTCTTGATTTTGGCACAGGTCATGATTTCATGGTTCATGAGATGTAACCCGTGTCAGGCTCTGAGCTGACAGTGCAGAGCCTGCTTGGGATTCTCTCCCTCCCTCTCTCTCCGCTCCTCCCTCGCTCGTTCTCTCTCTCTCTCTCTCTCTCTCTTTTAAAATAAGCATTAAAAAAATAAATAAATAAAAAGTAGGAAGAAAAAAGGCAGCCTTGGGGGATACCTGGGTGGCTCAGTCAGTTAAGAGTCTGACTCTTGATTTTGGCTCAGGTCATGATCTCGCTCACAGTCATGAGATTGCACCCAGCATTAGACTCTAGGCTGGGCATGAAGCCTGCTTGAGATTCTCTCTCTCCCTCTCTCTCTCTGCTCCTCCCCTACTTGTGTGCAAATGCTCTCTGTGTCTCTCAAAAAAAAAAAAAAATAAATAAAGGCAATCATTTATTACAAATAACTACATTCTGGAATGTCACGGTCAGAGAAACAGTTACCTCTTGCTAGAGCTCTTGCTCACACTGTATGCAGGCAAATCTGCCAATCTTTTTTCCAGTGCTCCCTCCTGTCCTCCAACCTCCAGAAGCACTGACTCTGGGATCGTTTCCGTCATGCCGTCTCCCCCATGCATCTTGGACCTATGAGGTTAGCCATCAACAGTGCCCCTCTGCAAAAGTCAAAGTCCCATTTGGGTCTAGTAGGGTGAGAAGGCAAGATCACAAATAGCTGTAGTTAACTCTCATCTCTGCTTGACTTTCTTTGCCTTTTTAGATCCAGATAAGATTGGCTCAAACCTCCATTCTATAACCTCCGGAAAGCCCAATGCCTTTCTCCAGTTTGACGGAGATTCTGGGGGTTCTATTAAGGTCACTCTGGCTCAGAGCTTCTCATTTCACTGAATCTGTTCAGTCAAGCACACGGGTCATCCCCCAGCCCAGGACGCCAGCCCTATCCCTACCATGATGACCTAGATGGGAAACTTGACTCCTTCATTAGATTTCTGTAAAAAAAGCAAAAACAAACACACAAGCAATTTCACTTGCAGAAAGTCTTTTCGTAGTGCTAAAAGATTAACTGGGTCATGCGAAAATTCTAAGAATTTATCTGAGCAATACCAAGTAAAAGCACTCCATTGAACAGAGTTGAGGAAAAACTTCTATAGATAAAAGGCAGAAGCAAAGAAATGACATTGATTAGCTGTAGCTTAAAACCTAGTTGGCTGTTAGCGATTGGCTGTCCTTAGGTTTCAATTTCGTAACCTCGAGGCATTTACAGGCTTAGATTTTGGTTTGCTCACGTAGGAGCTTTGGCATTAGAGCCACCTCTGTTTAACAGCCTCCTTGTATAATTAATTTAACAGTAGAAACAACTAACCGTTTGCAGACAGGAAGGGGAATTACATGGCGGTGATCGAACAATTTAAAATCAAACACTAGTCATCCCTATTCCTAGAAGTCCTTTGAAACACCCGCCTCTCCCCCCCCCCCCACCCCCCCGCCCTGCCCCGGTCCAGGCGGGGTGTTCCATTCAGTGCTTCAGGAAGCCTCTCCTTTGCCCTGTCCCCCGCTCATTTCTTCCCTCCCAGATTGTCCTTAGAAGTCTGAATTGGTTTTACTCTCCCGGTTGAGGCAGTACCTCCCAGTACACCTCCAAACCTTGTATCTCCAAACAAATCAACTTCCTGGGCTGTCAGACAGGGTCCTATACTCTGCTTGTGACAAGCCACTCAGAAACCCTGAAACTTGGGTGCCTGTGTGGCTCAGTCAGTTAAGTGTCCCACCTGGGCTCACGTCATGATCTTGCAGTTTGTGAGCTCGAGCCCCACATCGGGCTCTGTGCTGTCAGCTTGGAGCCTGGAGCCCACTTCAGATTCTGTGTGTCCCTCTCTGCCCCTTCCCTGCTTGTTCTCTGTCTCTCTCTCTCTCTCAAAAAAATAAAAATAAAACATTAAAAAAAAAAAAAAAAGAAACCCTGAAACTTTCTCGAATCTATTCCACCTTCCTTAGCATGTATTCTTGGTATCACATCACATTTTTGGTTTCTCTTATAAGTGTATTCCAAGGTTGTGTGGTGAGGGCCATGAGACAGGCAAGCCCCGCCCT